ACAGAATGTTGGGTACGAACATTCTGCATGAACATTCCGTGTACAGAATGTTGGGTACGAACATTCCGCACGTACGAACATTCTGCCCGAACATTCCGTGCACAGAATGTTGGGTACGAACATTCCGCGCGAACATTCCGTCCACAGAATGTTGGGTACGAACATTCTGCACGAACATTCTGTCCACAGAATATTGGGTACGAACATTCCGCACGTACGAACATTCTGCCCGAACATTCCGTGTACAGAATGTTGGGCAAAAACATTTTGCGCGGACATTTTGCGCGGACATTCTGCACGAACATTCCGAATGAACATTCTGTGAAAAGAATAATGGGGACGACCATTCTGCCTGAACATTCCGCCCACAGAACGTTGGGCACAAGCACTTTGCACGAACATTCCGCACAAACATTCTGTGCACAGAATGTTGGGTATGAACATTCCGCCCAAACATTCCGTGAACAGAATTTTGGGTACAAACACTTTGCACTAACAATTTGCACGAGGTTCTCCAGGCTGCAGCTGAAGGAATAAGGCTTTCAAACAACATACCCTGTTAATTCAAAGGAACAACTGAAGTTGGGTTATTAATTTTGTCCTAATATTATTGCTTGATTAACTTCCACAGTCTTCCTAAAACATACCACCAACCATCGTCATAGATAGATTGTGAAGCTCTGTTTTGAATTATTGAGTTTATCACCACCATCACATACAGTAGGTGACTGCTATTGTTAGCTTAAGTGAACTCAGATGGCAGAAAGATATCCTAGATATTCTGAACCTGCGTAGTACTACAGGTCCCAGGTATGTTGAATTGAAAACACTATTTAAAAACAATCTGCTTTCCATTAATGCTACAGTGTATTATTCTCTTTATGTGTTGGCTAAAAACTCAGTGGAACAGTGTGATTACATTTACTTTACTGTTGCTTCTTTCAAATGACAAACAGGAGATTACGGCTAGTACGAAGATGACATTTCACCTAATGAGCAAAGAGTTCCACAGAGTTCTGTATGCAGGCCACAAGATGGCTAACTGCACCCTAGGAATCCTCAGAAACTGACAGCATTAGCTGCATACTCATTGACCCTGCTGCTAAACAGAGGTTGCCAGAAGTCTGGTGCGGTGAAAATCCGGGTCTGTTGTTGGAGACTTCTTTTGATCATCCTGAATAGATTTTCTTCTTGTTTGCCAGCTTGTTGCCAAGGTCTTGTGGGGGTGGAAAGGTACCTTGCACCCAATTTTGACTTTCTTCAATTAGATGAAAATCTTGTGAAGTGATAAATAGCGCTTATCAAAGAGTAACAGGTCAGAGAGCCTCTCTCTCTCTGAGTCCTGGATAAAAAGATTCCAGTTTGCGAACCCTGATGAAAACATGTAAATTATATTGGCAGTATTATGTTGGCAGTATTATTTGACTACTTCTGATCTACAATGAAAGGTATTTACACAACTCTAGAGAAAGCTGTATTTCTTTTGTGTTATATAGCCACTTATATATTTAAGCCTGCTGAAAGAGGAAAACAAAGCCTTGCTTAGTATTTGTGAATGTTATCAGCATGGGCAGCTGACAACTTATGGAGTAGTCTCAGACTTTATGTCCTGGCCAGTGGAGGGTTGTGAATATATATAAACCACTGAGTGCTGGAGTCTGCATTTCCCCTGAGGTTATGAATCTGCATGCCTGGGCTGAGGCATAGGGTCCACAAACCTGCCTTGCCTGCCAGATTTCAAACACCGGCACCAGTGGACCCTTGGGGCTCAGCTGAGGGAAGAGACAGCCTGGAGCTCATCTGCACCCTGGGCCTCCAGGCCTGCCACGTGGGACCACAAACCAGAAGGCAACCCAAATAAACTGAAAGTAGACAAGAAGCAAAGAGAGGTTAGGAGATAACGATAACTCATCAATAGCTGTGGTTGTAACAATAATTTTAAAGCAAAACTAACAGAGAATATTGCTTTATAAACAGAGGCAGAAGGGTTTTAAGCCATGTACATAATGGCATAAGCACTGCAATAAATAACTCAGCGTTTCCACTGG